CCGCAGGGCACCTTCTACGCAAGCGCACGCGGGACATTCTGCAGGACAGGCCACATGTTGTGACACAAAACAAACCAGAAATGTCCAAAGATTAAAATAATAATATGTATCTCCTCTATGCACAGTGAAGCTAGAAACAAATAGCAGAGGGAAAACAGACAACTCGGCAACATGGGGAAATAATACACCTCATGTTTAAACAATAAATGGGTCAAAGAAGAAATCACATGGGATTTTTTAAACTATGGGGATAAAAATGGAAATACTACACTGCACCCTTGGGGGACGTAGTGATGGCAGCACTAAGAAGGATGTCTGCAGTGGTAAATGCTTACATTACAGAAAAGGAATGGCCTTGAACCAGAAATCTGATTTTACACATCAAGGAATCACAAAAAGAACAGACTGGACCCAAACTGCACAGAAGTAGACAGATGAGAGCAGAGAGAAATGTAATAAAGAATGGAAAACTATATAAAATTTAACAAATTAAGAACTCATTTTTTGAAAAGATTAAGAAATTGCGATAGAAAGCTCAAGTAAAATAAAAAAGAAAGGGGGATTGCAAAAGGTGTCACAGAACAGGTGTCACAGAAATCTTGAAGAAGGTCTACAAGAAAATACTTTGAACAATTATATGTCAAGAAATTACATAACCTAGGTATATGGGTAAATTCAAGAGACCCATACAACCTCTCAGACCTCATCACGAAGAAACTTAAAAATGTGGACAGAGTTACAACTAGAGTCAAGCAGTCATCAAAAACATCCAACACACACCCAAAACCAGATGGCTTCACCGCAGGAGCCTACCAAACATTTACAGAAGAATCAACATTAATCCTGCTACAAATCTTCAGCAATACTTGAAAATTCATTTTATGCAGTCAGCATGATTCTGATACCAAACCCAGAAAAAGACGTGTGAACTGTGCTTTGATGCAACAATCCTTAAAATACGAGCAAATGAAACTCAACATTCAAACCAGTACAGACCACCACAGGTGGAATTACTCCTGTACGGCTAGGAATATCCAACATACAAAACCACTCAGTGTAATACACCACATTAAAAGCCAGGGAAAAAAACAGACAGTAATCTCAATTAAGGCAGAAAAAGTCATTGACAAAGGTTGAGAACCTTTGAAGATAAGAACTCAACGAACTAGGTATAGTAAACACAAGGGCCCTATATGAAAAGCACACACAGAACGGCACATGCAACGGTGAGAGACTGGAAGCTTTTCCTTCAAGGTCAGGAAGCGGCCCAGGACGCATCCTGTCCCCAGTGCCTCCCAAAGGGCTGAAGTACCGGAAGTTCCACCCAGGTCTTTACCATGAACACAAAACAAAGCGATCCATAGTGGAAAAGTGGAATTCATAGTTTAAAAACCATGATAAAAATCAAACACCTTCTCTCTCTGACGGTGTTTCCCAATCATTAAGATCTTGAAGCCAGTGACTCACTTGTCCTGTCCAGTTTCAAATATACTGCAGAAAGTGGCAGAAAATAGTGTACTTTTTTGGTCTTTTTTTCCAGAATTTACCAGGTATTTATGAGTGTCATTATGCGGCTTCTCTGTCACCCTGGCCTATGGAGAGCCGAGGGTGCACCCAGGCGCAGCCCTGGAGCGACCCTATTGTCTGACCACACCCACCCCCGCCCCGCCCCATAGCGCACTGGGTAACCTGATGTGGAATCTAAGTTGGGATGAGAGGCGCTGGTGGGTGGGGCGGGCAGTGTGTGGGACCAGGGGTCACACAGACAGGCTCGGGGCTCAGGGAGACCCAGGAAGGGCCCTTCAGGAAGGAGAGACAGAAGGTCACCCAAAGGGTAGGACTTTACCTGAGGAACAGCCGTTCCCGGCTCCTCCATCCTCTTCCTCCTCTTTTTCAGGGCTTCGGCCTCAGGAACAGGAGTCTTTCTTAGAAGCCAATCCTGAATGCGGAAAACATGCCACTTAATGCTGACAGTCATAGCATCCTGCCGCTTGCCACAACCACACGGGGGGACCTCTGCCCACTGCTCAGGAGGGACTCGCGGACAGAAACCGCCCTACAGAGACAAGCGAGTCTCTCCCCCATTTCTTCAGATCCCGCCCCTGCTGGGAAACCCTGACACACTCTGCAGGAGTGGGGATCCCGGCTGTCCCCGCACCCCCCCTCAGGTCACAGCCCCGGCCCTGATCCCTCCCCTCACCCAGACCCCGGCCCCGGCAGAGGCGGCTCAGCGCCCCGGTGCTCAGTGCTGCACGCAGGTGACGTGTATCACGGCTGGTCCCACCTCAGGTACTTGAAGGAGCAGCTCTGGTCAGGGGACACAAGACCCGTGTTTCCAACAGGCCCCAGAAATCTACTGGGCAGCGTGGCGGGCACCGTTAGGAGGCAGGCCCAGCGCTCCCCCACCTCACCGCCCTGCCCTGCCCAGCCTGACCGAGGTAAACCTGGCAAACCAAAAGTGTGGACGTGTCTTAATTTGCAACAGCTACGCACTGTGACAGAACCAGCACATCACGCTAACGGACACACTCCTCACTCCCCGTTACCATCTTCTGTGCCGGTGTGGTGAGAACACTTAAGATTTCTCAGCAAACCTCAAACACACAATAATACGGTACTGTTACCTACCCGCACTAGGCCGTGTATCAGATCCCAGGACTCAGTCATTTTACGACTGCAAGTCTGTGCCCTCCACCAACACGTCCCCGTGTCCCCAGCTCCCAGCCTCTCGCACCCACACTCTACTCCCTGGTTCTATCCTGACTCTCCACATCCCACAAAGAAGCAAATCACACAGTATTTGTCCTTCCCTGTCTGGCTTACGTCATGTAGCATAACGGTCAACCACGGTGACGACCTATGTTGTTGAAAATGGCAGGATTTCTTTCACTTTCTCGGCTGAATAATACTCCATCATGCATTCACACACACACTGCTTTTTCTTCATCCGCTCAACTGTCCCCATTTACCTTGTTTCCCTCTCGTGGCTGTGCCTGATAATGCAGTCATGCACACGGCAGTGCAGACATCTGTCTCTTCAAGACACTGATCTTGTTTCCTTTGGACAGACACCCCAAAGTGGGACTGCTGGGTCTATGGTACTCCTCTTTTCACTTGTCTGAGGAACTTACATGCCATTTTATGTAATGGCTGCACCAATTTCCATTCCCACACACAGTGCACAAGGGTCCCCTTTTCTGCACACGCTCTCCAACACTGGTTACTCAGCTTTTCGTTCAGAGCATCCCAGCAAACGTGCCCCTCCCATTTGCTTTCCTTGGGCCTTGTCAGGAGGATCGACAGTGGAAGGGCGAGCAGCAGACAGAAATGAGCAGAGCGGGCACAATGACGCAGGTGGGCAGAGGCTGTGGCTGGCATGGGAAATGGGAGGGGGACAGAGAAGGATCTGTGAGGAAGTGGCATCAGAACTAAGGCCGGGGTAGGAAGGACATGCCCACTGGCTCTGAGGGGCTAGGCGGCTCTAGGTGGAGGGACAGCCCTGCGAGGGCCCTGAGGCAGCAGCCACCTTGGCCCCAGGAAAGGCCTGTGTGGCTGGAGCGGGGAGAGGACACACACAGGAGGGGATCCAGACAGAAGCAGGCTGGGAGGGATGTGTCCTCTAACCTTTCTCTTATCATCAAAAGAATTTTAGAAATCATGAATATGCTATTTAAAGCCAACATTTTTTTTTCTGTACCTCATACAGAAAAACACAAATAATGCAGTATCCTATGTTTTATATACATACTGCTATGTTCACCTTAGCCCCAGGAGGTACAGGGCTGCCCAAGGATGGAGGGGAAACAAATTTAGGGGAGGTTAGGATAGCAGTTTTGGATAAATTAAGGTAGAGAATCCTGTTAGACATCCAAGAGATGTGGAGAACACAGCAAGAAACAGCATTCTGGATTTCAAGGGAGAGATCTGGGTTTGAGAGGGACTTGGGAGACAGGGAAGTGCTGTGGAAGTCATCAGGTGAGAGCAAGACAGAAGGTAAGATGTTGAAGGACTCCGCTGTGGGACGCTCCACCTTCAGAGACCAGAGCGTCCACTTAAGTCCATCAGGGGGATCTGACAAGTGAATTGGGGCGGCTAGATGAAAATTAAAGACAACAGATTTTTAAACATAAGACGGGCATGTCCTCAGAGACAAGAAAATCAGTCTTTCAAGGAAGCAGCTGCCATCAGCTGTGGAACCTGCTGCTGCCAGGACAAGGTGGATGAGAAGAGGAAACCAGAGGACGGACTCGGAAACGGGGAGGACACCGGTGACTGGAAAGAAAAGTACCGGCGCAGCGGGTGTGAAAGCTTGACTGACGGGGTTCAAGCAACAACTGTCGGCAAGATTTAAAGAGGGCTGTAGGCAAACTAGTGCACTGTGCTCTGAAATGAAGCATACGACAAAAGGGGCTCTGAATGGAGGGGGGAGAGTAGAGTTGAAACTGTTTTAATGGTGGAAGAATAGAGTGCATAAAAGGCATGTGTGTGTGGGGGGGTGTCCTTTGTGTAAGATGGACAATACCACCGTCTCTGTATGCTGACCAGAATAACTTCCACTAAGTAGAAATATCTATCAATGTTCTCACACTGATACCAACATGTAACTGCATTTCTACAAAATCACTGTAAAATATTTTAAAAATACTAAATTACCAAAACACAGCTATAGGTGTGCAAAATATTGAGAGTCAGATGTAGAAATAAGCTCTAAGCAAATTTCTTTTTAATGTCAATTTTATCAATGGCTGGGTTTTTTTTCTTTTAGTTTTGTTGGGTTTTTTGAGCAAATTTCTTCAGCAGGCATAGCTGGGCTCTGCTGGACACAGCTTCCAAGTCAATCCAGGCCACCTTCAGCATTTGGAGAAAAAAAACAAGAAAGACCAGAGGGGAACAACTACTCTTAGGTCACTGCTCACTATGCTAAGAAATCACATTAAAGGGAAGAAAACTGAGTATTAAACTCGTTAAGTTAGGCTTTGACTGTTAAAAGATCACTGACATCCTTACCAGCTACCCAACGAAACAGTCTAAGATTATTAACTGATCACCTATGAACATGACCAATACAGAAGATACAGAGGACAAAGCTTACAGGCCTCACTTAAATCAGAAACAAATTTAAAGAGTAAATGATACATAATTTTTCAAATTTAAATCATTTTAGTGTCAAAGGTACATTTGAGAGTATATTTAGAAAAGAATGACAAGAGTTCATTAGAGAAGGCCACCAAAACTTATTTGAGAAGTTAATTATAGGGAAGTAGAAACTGAATGAACTAAGATTTAGGTCAGACTACAAAATGAATTATCAATTAAATGTTAAGTGTGTGTATATACACACACATATAAAATACCATTACAAAAACCTAAAAATAAAAACAAAGCAGTCATTTTAATGTACTTTTAAAAAGGGCACCCTGTAGTGATAGTCCTGGCTCGTCCCACTTCCCATCCCCAGCCTCTAACACATGCCAGGAAAAGGGAAGGGTGACTGTAGACTAAACGAGAGTCCCTGTGGCCAGGATTCTCACCCGGCCCTGGCTGGCTGGCTGACTGCACACGGGTGAGCAATGCATTGCTACTGACATTATATAAAGAGCTCCACCCAGTACTCTGGGTGTGACAAGGTGGCAG